TCATTATGTTTGAAAAGATGCTCAATTGAAGAAATTCTTGTAGAAATCAAAAAATTAATACACTTGAGATGCCTTAATTTGTCTGAGAATGGAACATTAAAAGAATTTCCTGAGACATTGTGTGGATTATATAATCTACACAAACCTTGGACATAAGATTTTATAGAAATATCAAAAAACTACCTCAAGGGATTGGAAAGTTAATCAACTTTCGACATTTTCTTAATGTTGGGACTGATATAAGTTATATGCCAAAAAGTTTGGAGCAATTAACTGATCTACAAACATTAGAATATTTTGTTATAAGTGAGGACAGTTATGGTACCAAAGCATGTTCTGTTGAATGTTTAAAAAGCTTCAATCACCTTCAAGAGTTAGGTATAAAAAGGTTGAGAAATTTGAGAGATGTGGATGAGGTTAAGGGAATAGAATTAAACAATAAGAAAAACTTGCGTCATTTGTATGTAAACTTTGAGGGGAGGATGAATAAGGAGCAAAATCAAGAACTTCTTGAAGAGTTGCAACCACATCCAAATTTAGAGATATTAACGCTACGAAATTACATTGGCAACACTATTTTCCCTAATTGGATGATGTCATTCACCAATTTCAGAAAGTTATTTCTTTGGAAATGTGTTGTAATAACACTCTCACAAACCAAAATTATAAACTATAAAACAAGCATCCACAAAAGACCAAAACACCACAATTTTACCATAGTTCACCTTTCCAAGAATAGGAAGGCTACGTCCACGTTGAGCTCCGAAAATGACAAAGCTCACTGCACTAATTGATGAAACAATTTACAGATTATAGACACAAGACCAAACAAGCAAAGAAAAAAACCCGAAATCACCCTATCTGGTAACAAGCAACCTAGGAAACTAACACTCAGATTCCCAACTCTAAGAGAGACAATACCCCTCTATCAGAATGATAAACCCAATCACTTAACAAGTTACACAGAATCAAGATTTTAGAACAGAAAGATGAACCCTAGCAAAGCAAAACCTAATACACAGTATCAACGAAGAAACCCTATTGAAAACTGAAGAAACATTTGCTTATATATCTTTGACCAGGAAGGACTGAACTCTGCTGTTGGATCTCATGAAGATTGATGGTCCAGATTCATTCTTGAAACGACAACGTATTAGTTTAAGTAAGACGGCATTGTTTCAATCTTCACATTTACAATTTCCACCTTGAAGACTTGAAACTAACTCTCTCACTTGATTCCCTTTTAGTGCAGTGTGCCTCAATTGATTCCCTCATAGCTCTGTTGATATTTTGCTTACTTCAGAAATAGCAAGTTCATGTAATGCTTGAACTTGGCTGGACTGACAATCTTTGTTCCCATGTCTGCTGGATTTTCTTCAATGGGAACCTTTTTCAGATCAATAAGCTCTTTTGTGATCAAGTCTCTGATGAAGTGGAACCTCAAGTCCACATGTTTTGTTCTCTCATGGTAGATGGGATTTTTACTTAATAGTATAGCACTTTGACTATCTGAGAAGATAGTCACTTTGCTATCAGTCAGCTCAGTTTCTGTCAATAATCCTTGCATCCATATAGCTTCCTTGAACCCATCTGCCAGAGCCACATATTATGCTTTAGTGGTTGATAGGGCAACTAGAGGCTAGAGTTGTGATTTCAGCTAATGCAATTCCCTCCAAGTGTGAAGCAATATGTTGTGGTTGACTTCCTGCTATCCCTGTCACCTGCAAAGTCTGAATCAACAAGCCCCATAAGATCAAGTGTAGATGTTCTTTTGCAATACTCTAAACCTATACATGTAGTATTGTTTATATATCTGAGTACCCATTTCAAAGAAATCCAGTGATCACTTCCTGGATTTGACATGAACCTACTCAACAAAGATATCGTAAAAGCTAAATCTGGTCCGGTGCTAATCATTGCACACATTACTGATCCTATCACATTTGAGTAAGGGATAGTCTCCATTTGCATGGTTTCAGCAGAACTCTTAGGACATTGTGACTTAGACAGTATAAAATGGTTAGCCAGTGGCATTGTCACATGCTTGCAATTAGACATTCCAAATTTAGAGACTAATTTCTGCAGATATGGTATTTGGTGAATTTTTAGGGTACTCCTACTTCTGTCCCTATCTATAAACAGTCCAAGTATTTTCTTTGCCACTCCTAGGTCTTTAATACCAAATTTGGAACTGAGTCTAGCCTTTAGTTTAGTTATCTTTGATTTTGATTTACTAATCAGGAGCATATCATCTACATAAAGCAGTAAGTAAACAGGCATGGCATCTTTTAGGGCAAAGTAAAAACAATTATCATATTTGCTCCTAGTGAACCCTAGGTTAAGTATAAAGGTATCAAACATTTTATACCACTGTCTAGGTGACTGTTTAAGTCCATACAAGTACTTATGCAGTCTGCATACATGGTCTGGTTTTAGACTCTCTACAAAGCCTACTGGTTGGGCCATGAAGATTTGCTCTTCTAAATCCCCATGAAGGAAGGTTGTTTTTACATCAAGTTGCTCTAACTCTAGGTCTTGCTGAGCTACAACAGGCAGCATCATCCTAATGGTTTTATATTTTACTACGGGAGAGAAGACTTCATTAAAGTCTATGCCCTCCCTTTAGGTGAACCCTTTGGCCAACAGTCTAGCTTTGTATCTAGGTGGTTCATTTGTTACTACACCTTCCTTAATCTTATACAGCCATTTACACTGAATAATTCTTTTACTTTTAGGTTTAGGAACAAGGGACCAAGTCCTATTTACCTTTAGGGAATTCATTTCTGTCATTGCTTGCCACCATTTGTGCTTGTCCTTTAAAGTAATTGCCTCTAAGTATGACTCTGGTTCTATCCTCAGTACTTTAGTTCCTGCCAGTAGGACAATATAGATCAGCTCTGCATATGAGTACCTTGCTGGAGGCCTAATCTCTCTTCTAGTCCTGTCCCTTACTAGTTGATAGTCCTGCAGCTCATCCAGCAAGGGATCTTGGGCCTCCTCTATTTCACCCTCATGTTGGTCAGGTCCATCGGCTGTTGTTGCTTCTTCTGGTATAGGATTATCTTCAGTCTGGGTGTCCTCTAGTTGCCTGATGGTTGCCTCTACCTCAATTGGTGTAGTGACTGGTTGACCTGGTTGGTTTACATTGTTGCTTAGAGAACCTACATCAATGTTAGCAAACTTGTAGGGGAAATCCCCTTCATTACAGATTACATCTATGCTAATAATGATCTTTACCCCTGGTGCAGTTCTATCCCATAACCTATAACCTTTAGTGCCCTCTTGATATCCTAAAAGTATACACTTTATGGACCTATGCTCTAGTTTCCCATCACTTGTGTGTGCATATGCAGCACATCCAAACACCCTTAGGTGACTTAGATTTAAGTCTCTTCCTGACCATTTAGACTTAGGACAGTTGAATCCTATGGAGCTGTTAGGGCTTCTGTTTATTAAGTAGGCAGCAGTGGTCAATACTTCTCCCCAAAAGGTTTTTGGAAGGCCTGAAGTGAACAGTAGACACCTGACTTTCTCTAACAAGGTTCTGTTCATTCTCTCAGCAACTCCATTTTGCTAATGGGTTTTCCTAACTGTCTTGTGCCTTAAGATACTTGGTCCCTACAATAGTTATCAAATTCCATATTGCAAAACTCCAGTTCATTGTCTGTTCTTAAGGCTTTCACTTTTCTGTCTATTTGATTTTCCACTAGTGTTTTCCAGTTTTTAAACTTAGACAATGCCTCATCTTTGGACTTCAATAGGTATACCCAAACTTTCCTACTGAAGTCATCAACAATAGAAAGGAAATAGGAATTCCCTCCATGAGATTTAATCCTCTCAGGTCCCCAAAGGTCAGCATAGAGGTAGTCTAAACAGTTTTTGGATAGGTGTATGCCTTTAGTGAAACTACCTCTATGTTGTTTTCCTAAAACACAGGTTTCATAGAAGTCTATGGTTGTTATTTTATCTTTACCAAATAAACCCTGTTGGCTAAGAATGCTCATACCCTTTTCACTCATATGTCCTAGCCTTAAATGCCACTTATCAGTAGTATTAAGATTTGTGGAGACCAGGGCACTATTCCCTTTCTCAGGATGATAACTGCCACACAAAAGGTACAACCCATTCTTCTTCAGCCCCCTCAACACAATATGGTTATTCTTAAACACATTTATACGACCCCTTTTAGCCTTATAGCTACAGCCTGATTCATCTAGTGTACCTAGGGATATTAGGCTTCTCTTTAGTTCAGGGATGTATCTAACATTTGATAACACAATAAGTTTTCCATCATCCAACCTTATGGTTATATTACCTAATCCTATCACTCTGCAAGTGTTGTTATTACTTATTACCCATATAGACAGTTTCATATTCACCACCCCTAAAGTCCTGGAACCAATCTCTATTAGGACTCATGTGGAAATAGCATCCTGAGTCTAACACCCAGTCATGTGTTTGATCTATCCTAGACACAGTGAGAACTTCTGGATCAATAACATTATTATCAGCATAGGCCACATTACTCTCAGTGTTCATGGATTTTTGTTTTCTAATCCAATCATAACAATTCTTTTTTAAATGACCAGGCTTATTACAGTGAAAACATTTTCTAGTCTCCCCTTTCTTGTTAAACCCTTTTCCTTTCTTTTTAGTCTTAGACCATGTGTTTCTTTGCATGCCATTAGAGGAACTTCCTAAATCAGTTTTACCCTTTACAAACAGGTTATTCCCACTTCTTTTCAGAACCTTCAACTCTAACTCCCTAGCCTTTAGTCCTGATACTATAAGATCTACACTAGGGACAAAACCAGAGTACTGTAAAGTATTCTTGACTACTTGGTAGTCTTCTGTCAGTGAGTTTAGCAGGATCATTGCCAAACTCGTGTCTCCTAATTCTTGGTCAGTGCCCTTTAGGATTATAGTCATTTTCAAGAATTCATCAATATTATCTTCTATTGACTTACTACTGTCCATTCTATATGAAAATAGTGCACCCTTTAAGAAAGCAAGATTTGTGCAGTTTGTAAGGCATACAGAGTTTCGAGTTTACCCCAGAGTGCGATTGGAGCCTCCAATCCGTCCACTTTTCTCAGCACGTTGTTTGCTAAGTTCATCACGATCAAATTGTATGACTCCTCGTCTATTTCTGCCTTTCTCTTTAACTTATCCGCTGGCCACTTTTCTTCATCCTTTTCGAGTGCAATCCCTACTTTATTATGTGAAAGTAGGGCCTTCATCTTCTTCTTCCAAGAATTGAAGTCTATTTTTCCATCGTACTACAAGATCTCCATGCGGGTTGAACTCATGGTGCTCATAATCAGAAATCGGTTTTGATTCTTGATTATTACTGGTTTGATGATAACCTATAGTCTCCTAAGAACCCTAGAACTCGAAATTTTAGAAAACCCCCAATTTCGATGAAACCCTAGAATTCTAATTTTTCAGATTTGGATCACGAATTCACTCTAGGCTCTAAGGTATAAGGCTCTGATACCACTGTTGTAATAACACTCTCACAAACCAAAATTATAAACTATAAAACAAGCATCCACAAAAGACCAAAACACCACAATTTTACCGTGGTTCACCTTTCCAAGAATGGGAAGGCTACGTCCACGTGGAGCTCCTAAAATAGACGAAGCTCACTGTACTAATTGATGAAACAGTTTACAGATTACAGACACAAGACCAAACAATCAAAGAAAAAAACCCGAAATCACCCTATCTGGTAACAAGCAACCTAGGAAATTAACACTCAGATTCCCAGCCCTAAGAGAGACAATACCCCTCTATTAGAATGATAAACCTAATCACTCAACAAGTTACACAGAATCAAGATTTCAGAACAGAAAGATGAACCCTAGCAGAGCAAAACCTAATACACAGTATCAATCGAAGAAACCCTATTGAAAACTGAAGAAACATTTGCTTATATATCGTTAACCAGGATGGACTGAACTCTGACGTTGGATCTCATGAAGATTGATGGTCCAGATGTTTAAGTAAGACGGCATCGTTTCAGTCTTCACATTTACAAAATGTATAAACTATAAGTATCTGTCTCCTTTGGGTAAGTTGTCCTCCCTTGAAATTCTTCAAATTTGGGGATTGAAGAGTGTGAAAATGGTAGGTAATGAGTTTTTGGGAATAGAGAGTGATGTCACATCATCATCTACATCAATTATTGCGTTTCCCAAATTAAAATATCTTGAGTTTGAGGATATGATAGAATGGGTAGAGTGGAACTATCAGATTACAGAGACAAGAGATAAATATATTAGAGTCATGCCATCTCTTCAGACCTTGGAACTTTATACCTGCAGCAAATTAAAGTCTCTACCAAACTACCTCAATTAGATGACAACGTTGAAGAAGGAAATAATGTCTTGTACTCTTCTCGAAGGACAAAGAACCAATAGTTGATCAATTATCAATTTCAACATTGATTTTCCTTAAACCACGAGTAATTTCATCTCTTTTCCGTTTTAATTAGTTTTTTAATCACATTCTTTATTTTTATTTTTATGGGAATAACCCACATCTTTTCATAGTTAATACCCTAATTATCAATCACCATTTTCGTACTCTTAATTATCTTCCTAAATCTAATTTAAGGATCCCTCTGCATTAATTTATGTATTTCTGTAACCGTAACAAACTCATTTTGTCTACTGAAACTAATAGGATTTGAACCAATGCCGGGTCTCTATTGAAGTGAAGAACATAAATACAGCATCTCTACTAGAATCAGAAATGGGTGTTCATTTTAAGTTATCTCATGCTAAAGTTTTGTTTTCTTTTCTTTTCAAGCAGCAGCAACCAAACAATCATGCACTAAAGATCTTCTGATAGAAATGTTGGATATCAATCACCATTGCGTTGTGAACACTGAAAGGCTCCATCAACTCGCCCTGGTTTTTCCCTTGCAATTGTTATCTAATGCTGTTGGATGTGAAGTGGACTACGTAATGTGGCCACAAGGAATCTTATATAATCTAGTATGTATAAGATTATAGAGGGGAGAAGAAGATATTATAGTTATGCCACATCTTCATCAGATACTGTGCTAGATGTTCATTGCCTTGAAGGAACTGAACTGATTCTGGAGCTTTACTTTTTCTCAGGTTCAAAGCATAATATTGTTAATGAAGAAAAGAATCTCGCATACATAATCTAATTAATTCAATATCTTTTTCTAGATGCAGAACTTAGTGACGTCTTGCTGTTGATTGAACCCTGACTCTTCCACCAACTGGCACGAAGATAATACACTAGATGCTTAAGGGCATGTAGCAATGTTTTGTTTCAAGAACATGTCTTTTTCAGGTTTTAGATTACNCTACGGTTCAAAGGAGGCTTTTCGAATCCAGGTTGATCTTCAAGCGTAAGTGTATCCATATCATTAGTATCTGTATCCATATCATCTTTCGTGATAGTTGAAACAAAAAAACCCTAGCCCATCTTTTCCCAATTGAATACGTGGAACTTTCTCTCTACAGTGATCTACTCTCAAGAATCCACATTCAAGATATGTTCCATTGGAGAACGGGAATCGCAGACTGCTAAGGTCTCCACAATGGAAAGAATGACATTTTGGCCTGAAGCCCTTTTCTTCTCAAGCCAAAGAAACAAGTAAAAGATGAGTGATAAAGAAGAACACAAGATAAGAGACAATAGACATTCTAAAAGCTCAACTCTAATTGGCAATAGATTTAACACTTGTGTTGAGTTCTTTAATTCTATCATTTTGATGCTGCATTTTCCAGTACGTTCAGTTTTTTAACCTCTAGACCATGCAATTGACTTGGAATTTTGTTTGTGAAGACTTGAACAAACCGAAAGTTGGAAAACGTTTGGACTGAAAATATAAAAGAAAATTATCAAAACCACCCTTTTAGTTTCAGCTAGAGGCAACAAAATAATACTATTTACAAAACTATCATAAACCACCGCTGGCCCTAACTTCCATCCATCACAGTTAGTGACAAAGGGGACGATTTGAAATTTGACCATAAATTCCCTTGTACAATCTTTTTATAACATAAATTCTTATGAAACTGCATTTTACCCCTTAAAAAATCATTTTTTAATTTAACTTTTAAAATATCATATATTCTTAATTTTTTAATTATTTTTTGTATCATATATTATTTATCTTTCATTTTTTATTTACTTTACTAAACCGCTATCAACCACTAATTTTTATTTAAAAATTCTAATGCTNGAGGTTGGAGATTGTGGTGGCTAGGGTTTCAAAAATTGAAAGGAAATTGTGGAAGAATTTTAGGGTTTCTGATTTAGAATAAACTGAAATTGATTTGGGATGTGGGTTTTACCGTTTTAGCGCAAATGGGAAATTTGAAATTTAGGAGTTTGCAAATTTTTTTTTTTTTTGAAAAACGTAGGGGTAAGTGACGTGGCAGATGAGGTGGCACTGCCATGTCATCTGCCACGTCATGATGTAAGAGAATGAAGTAAAAATATGGTGTAACCCTAGCATTACTGTAGCTATAAACATCCGACTTGTGAGAGACTTCTCCAAAGTTTCTACTAACTACTTCTGGAACAATATAACCAATAGTTCCTCGTGTACCTGTCAATGATATGATACTCTCTTTCTTCAAGCAAATTTTTGCAAGACCAAAATCAGAGATCTTTGGACAAAATTCTTCATCTAGGAGAATATTATGGGGTTTTATGTCAAAGTGCAAAATTCTTGTGCTACAACCACGACGTAAGTACTCTAATCCTTGAGCTATGCCCACTGCAATTTGGTACAAGTTTTCCCATGTCAGCTTTTGATTCGTTTCCATACTTTTTTCATATATGAACTTCTCCAGAGAACCATTAGGCATAAACTCATAAACAAGAGCTCTTTTACTGCCCTCAAAACAAAAGCCTAAAAGAGCAACTATGTTTACATGAGAAGTCCTACTAATACTAGCCACCTCATTGATAAATTCTTCACCATTACCTTTGGCTTCTTTTAAGACCTTCACTGCAACATTACGCCCATCAAGTAGTTTACCTTTGTAAACACCTCCGTACCCTCCTTCGCCTAGTTTGTCTCTAAATGAGTTAGTCATTTTCTTGATTTCTTAATAATTATATCTTTGAGGAGCCAATGACCCATTATTCCTAAAAAACACCTCAATGTTCTGATAATTGCTAGCTTTCTTTTTCCAGAAGATAATGTAGTTATCTGGTGATCTTTTCATGAAGCAAAAGGCTAGAATTATGAATATGCCAATTCCAATGGCGGCTAGCATGCCTGTAATAAAAGATTCTTATAAGAATGGTTTCAAGGATAATTATTGCCACCGAACGTAGCTAGACTTGAGCAACCTTAAAAAGATAATCTGGCTCAAATATCAGCTTACTGTATGTTATGAGCACTAAACAGTTATAAATGAATATTGTCTTATGTTAATTTACCTCTTCCTATAATGGAAATTCTCATAATTTATAATATTTCATTGCTAAATTAAGCTAAAAGAAGCATAACACTTAATAATTTTAAAATGCATATACAGATGACGGAATGTGGCTTTTTTTTTTTTTTTTCTTTAAAGAGAAACATAAAATGGCAAAAACATTGTGCCAGCAGATACTCAATGAAATTTTTGTGCCTATGGTTCCTTAGTTGCAACGATTTACAAACATCACCGATTCACTCGAGTTGTTTTATTCTATCCTTTGGGTTGCTGTATTTTTCCTGTAATTTCAGTTGTTTATCCTCTAAAAAAAGCAGTTGACCTGGAAGTAGACGACGAAGACTTGTAAAGACATAAGAAAGTTTGAGACAGTTTCTAAATCATAAATGTCCAGTGATGGGAAAACATTTGGACCGGTCTGCCCATGACTGAAAATATAAGAAAAAAGATGATATCTATCATATCTTATTCACCGACAACTCTTATGTTACATGTTTAATATTAATTAGACATACTTCTAAAGATTATAACAAAGTTTAAAAAATAATTGTGTAACTTAGACATGAAGTTGCCGCCATTTAATTAACTCACTTAACTTCTGTTCCATTGTAGAAGGGGAATGGCAGATGGCCAAGGTCTCCACAATGGATAGGATGACATTTTGGCCCGGAGCCCTTTTCTTCTCGAGCTAACGAAACAAGTAACAGATGAGAGATAAAGAAGAACACAAGATAAGAGACACAAGACATTCTAAAAACTCAACTCTAATTGGCAACAGATTTAAAAAACATCATAACTCTTTGAAAAACTCGTGTTGAGTTTTTTAATTCAATCATTTCTGATGCTGCATTTTCCCTGTGGTTTCAAATTTCTTACCTCCAGACCACGCAGTTGACTTGGAGTTCTGTTTGTGAAGACTTGAACAAACCGAAAGTTGGAAAACGTTTGGACTGAAATGATAAAAGGAAATTACAAAACCATCCTTATATAATCAGTTTTTAATTTTAACTTTTAAAATATCATATATTATTAATTTTTAAATTTTTTTTTTTTGTATTATAAATTTTTTATCTTTTATCTTTCATTTTTTATTATTTTACTTTACAAAACTGCTATCAACCACTACTTTTTATTTAAAAATTCTAATACTTTAATTTGATATAAAATCTCATTTTTAGGTCTTACTCTACTTAAAATTTATTATTGATAACATAAAATTTACCAGAACAAAATAAATTTTGTGGAATTCAAGCTTTTTTAATATAAACTTTTGAATATGGTTTTTTTTTTTTAATTTATATTATGGTTTTTTTTTTTTAATTTATATTATGGTACGTTTTTTTTTAATATTATTCTATATCTGTTTTGTATTGAGTAAAAATAATGGGAAATATTGTAAAAATGAGGTGAGAGTGGTTGGGAATTATTCTTTATGCTTTTTTTTTTTTTTTGGTATAATTTTTATGGAATGTTTTCTATAATTTGTAATTTTCTATTATTATGATATCAAATGAATTGTTATGTATTTTTAAATAAAATATTTTAGTGAGAGGTTAAATATTATGGGTTTGAAGTGTATGGTTTTAATTTGTATATCAAATTCTGTGCTAGATAACTTATCTCCCTAATATATGTTTAAATACAAGTTCTTGAAATTATTATCCATCACAAGTGAACGAAAATCTCAGGGCTGGGTAGTTTTTGATGATTTTATACATAGTGTGGCTGAAAATATAAGGGTAGTTTTTGATAATTGCCCTAATATTAATTAAGTGCAATTTAAATGATTATAACAAAGAGATGGTTGTTTAACGTAGACATCAAATTACAAGATGAGAGATGAAGAAGAACACAATATAAGAGACACCAGACATTCTAAATACTGAACTCTAATTGGCAACCGAGTTAACAAACATCAGAATTCTTTGAAAAACCTCTAGACCACGCAGTTGACTTGGAAACTTTTGGATGGTGAAGACCTGTGCAAACCGAAAGTTGGGACAGTTTATAAATCATGAATGTCGAGTGATGGGAAAACCTAATAAATAGATCTTCTCTTAATTCTTAAGATACATGCTTCATATTTAATTAAGTGCAATTTAAAAAAAAGTTGTTTCACTTAGACATCAAATTGCTGCCATTTTAACTAACTTCTGGACAATTATTGACTGACTTAAGATCGGTTATTCATTGGCTTGTATGTTTGGAGCAAGTGATAAGAAGGTGGAATGGATTTCACTTCATGCCAAAAACATCTTTTCAAGTGTCACTTTATAAAAGAAAAGTTTTCCCCAGCTGGATGGAAAGGAACAGGCTTTAACTTTTCAAAGTTTAGTGTGAACACTAGAATTCAAGTTCAGAGCCTTAAAGTTACATTGAGAGCGTAAACTAGTTTACAAACTTTGAGACTTCTCTTCTAAGTATGCACCATTTGGGTGAATACACACTTTTATGAAACCTAAAAGTAAATTTGTGAATGCAAAACACTTACCTGAAAGCCAAAACCCTTAGAAGAAAATTACAAACAGATGATAATTGAAACATAATTTCATCAGCCACTAGATGTAGTGTCACCACTCACCACTAGCCCATTTTGCTGTAACAGATGTAGGTGACAACCTAATATTCTTCAGCAAGGAAGCCTAATCACAATGTGTAGCTGAAGCTGTTGGCGGCATACTCTTCAAATCATCGTCATTGTTTAGATTCTTTGGCTTCCACTCTCCCCTGTCAATTCTCCTCAGCTTCTCCAATATCACTTCCATGGAAGGTCTAATTTCCTTTTTCTGCTGCAAACATAGAAATGCCAGCTCAACAATTGAAGTTATCATTCTTTTAACTTAATTTGATATAAAATCTCATTTTTAGGTCTTACTCTACTTAGAATTTATTATGGATAACATAAAATTTACCAGAACAAAATAAATTTGAGGAATTCAAGTTTTTTAATATAAACTTTCGAATATGATATTTTTTAAATTTATGTTATGGGTTTTTTTTTTAAAAAAAAAATTATTCTATATTTGTGCTGTATTGAATCAAAATAATGAGAAATATTGTAAAAATTAGGTGAGAGTGGTTGGGAATTATTCTTTATGCTTTATTTTTTTTTTTGGGTATAAGTTTTATGGAGTGTTTTCTACAATTTTTAATTTTCTATTATTATTATAGCAAATAAATTGTCATATATTTTTAAATAAAATATTTTAATGAGAGTTTAAAAATTACGGGTTTAACGTGAAGTATATTTTTATTTTGGATATCAAATTCTATGTTAGATAACTTATCTCCCTAATATTTGTTAAAATACAAGTTTTTGAAATTATTATCCTTCATCAAGTGAACCAAACATGCCCTAACATAAAAGGTTAAATTGTTTATTAGCCGTTACTACATTATAGTAGATTTAAAACATGATAACAATTATATTTATAAATTTTTTATTAGAATTTGATTTGTAATGAATAAGCAATCTAAAATTGATCTAAAAATCTTTATTTAAAAAATAAATAAATTTCAATTATCTTACACTATTACAGTATCAATCACTTTATGAAAAGTAAAAAGTTAAATAAACAAGAATATTTTTCAATAAAATAGTGTTATTTAAGCCCCAATGAAGCTCTTTATAAACTCCATCTATCAATTTTTTTATAATTAAATTTAAAAGTATGTTATCAATTGAAATTATTAAAATATCCCCACCATCTAGATTAAATACAATTATTATTCAATAACCAATATTTCAAACAGATGATTTTAATTCAAGATTGCGAATTCCAGCAAAAGTATTTAATTTATAATTGGCATTGATAGATGATGATTTGTATAAAAAAAATTCTCGTATTCTACCTTTTTCCTTCAGTCCATCATCACTCCGGCAATTAGTAATTTAGGGTTGAGAGTATTTGATTAATACTCTGATTTAGTCTATTCTAATATCCAAATATAGAAGGCATTATTTTTAAGAAGGAATGATACAAGGATTAAGTAGAAGGGTATTTTTGTAATAAAATATAAAATATTTAGAAGTTAATTCTTTTAATTGATTTTATTTAATAATGGGGTTTAAATAAAACCACTCTTTTGCCCCCCACTATTTTCCTCTTTAGCCCCATCTTTAATTTTAGGTGAGGTTATAATTGTAATAAAATAATTTATTCTTCTTCCTCCATTTTATTCACTTCAAAGCTTTATATTTACCGTCCTCAAAAATTAAAAGTAAATTAAATAAATTATGATTAACAATAAAACACTATTTCTTCAATGGAAATTTGTGATACCAGATGTTTTTTTTAATGGGTATGAAATCATATTTTTCTTCTATCAAGATGGGATTTTAAAGTGATTACTTGATTGTAAGAGCTTTTAAATTGTGATTTCTTAAACAAATTAATCCATATTTGTATGATAATGAATTTATGATACCGAGTGTTTTGTTTTAATGGGTATGAAACTCGATTTTTCTTTAGTCAGTGTAGGATTTAGAATTAATTACTTGGTTGTAAGAGCGTTGAGATTGTGATTTAGTAAACCGATTAATCCGTATTTGTCTCCATAACCAACCAAATTTATAATAATTTTGCAAGATACATGGCCTTATATATATATATATATATATATATATATATATATATAATATAGTAATTCTT